TCAAGTTACTTGTCGCCACTCTAGCGAACTGAGTGGTAGGTAGCATGCGAACGACTGTGTGTGATCGCCCTACTACCGAGTCAATGGCTTGCTTTTGATACATTACAACAGGCGGAGGGTGAAGTTTGCGGGCTTTAGAGAGTACGCAGCTTTAAATAGGCATTAAAATAACTGTGCTTTACTAACTCGCAGTAGTTAGTCGAAAACCCTCTCACACTTCTGTCAAGTAGATCTAGATGATGGCTCGAATTACCCCAAATCTGACTGCAGGCTGTGGACAAAGGGACATGGAGTTAAGAGGACAATTGTGCGTTATTTTGGTGGTTGAAGAAACGAAATCGCCAGCGTTTTCAACTGAATTAGGATGCCTAGGAGGCAGAAATCCCTGCTCACTCGGAGTACACAAGATAGGCAAATAAAGCTGTGGACAATTGTTGTAATCAGAAATCAGCATACTGAAAGGGTGTAAATAAGTCAGTGTCTAAGTGTTCATTCGTGCAAAACACAAGTCGAATGTTGTCACCTATTAGATCCTAGTTATCAAGATGGAAGTGTGGTTCCGTTTTACAAAATTTCAGTCACATTTAATTGGCTTAGAATCGACTCAGGCAAGAAAACATAGCTGGAAATTCGGTAGTCTTCGAAAGGTGCAGAGAAGCAGAGGGTTTCACAGTATCAATTTTGATTCTGATTTTGATTCGTAAATTACCTTCTAATATGACGTCGTGCTAATTCTCTTCCAGAACCTGAAGCAATAATTAGATTTGCGTTGGAATTGACAAGTATTTGGGACACCATAAGATTGAAGTGTTAATTTGAGCAAAGAGAGGGATTTTGTTGACAATGCTGAAAGATGTAGGAAGCAATTTCCACGATTGCTGGGACTTAAGATATTTACCAATGCATCAGTGGTGAGAAGTGAAGAATGAGGAGATGCTTGGAGATCCGAACCGACATGGAGTTGGAGGAGGACGACCTGCTGAATTACCTGAAATCACTTTTGACCTAAAAGGAGCAAATAATGCTGAATGAGGTTTGTTAGGGTTGTGGAAGTTTGCAGCAATGACTTGGACAAAGCTGTTTAAACTCGCATGAGCACGGAACTAAAAGCTTTTTCTGTGTCTGTGTTACTCACGCAGATACAAACGGGTCCATTCCCTCTGCACACTTTATTCAATACAACAAGTTGCCTATTCGGTATTCCGCCTTTGGCGTTCCACTTCACATGTCCTCTAGCCATCACTACTCTATTTCACTAATGACAGAGTGTTACTAAGCGCAGGTGACTGTTTGGAAGAGAGCAAAGCCACTGAATACATCATCAGCATTTAAATGCAAAATTACTACCTGTTTCTTCCTACCATGCATAAGCAGGAGGAAATCATGTGGATTGTTCGGCAATGTCATTATTGGCTGCCACTTGATGGATTATAAGCAATGCAATTAATCTATCCATCCTAACTTGTAATCTTCTTACTAAATGCGCAACTTTAACCAAGGATATTATGCTCTGAGCTCTTATGCAATTAAATTTAAGTGGTAAGATCAACATGGACATGATGATCCAACAGATACTGTTGATTGTTGTACGTTTTGACATAAAAGATGGGTTTTTTTCGGAGACATGCTAAGCAAATCTGTGAGCATTTTTCAATAATCTCAAGAACCCACATTAACAGAAGAGAAAATCATGCAATTAATTGTTCTGTAAATGGCATTCTATCGTCCAAACATTTAGTCAATTCTCCCACTTTTCCAGGGCTATCCCAATGAAGTGCCCAAAGTCATGTTTGCCAATTTGCTTCTTCTTTTCAGTGCTATGCATCTGCCTCCCTGGATTGCAGTCAGCCTGATGCAGTGTTATTGCACAACTGTCATTCAGCACTGTTAATTACTTTTTTAATTTTTTCGTTTTGCATCAGGGTTTAGTCCTAAACATGCTGCAAATCTTGAACCTGAGACTGCTGCATACTTCGTGTATTACCATTTCTTTTAGGTCAAGAGCCAGGTAGATGGACACACCTCCTGTCCTCACCAACGTACATGTATCAGATAACTGTCTTTATCCCAAAATTAACATAAAAACAGTCTAGCATATTTAAGGCCATTGTTTGTGCGTCGTGGATGCAGCATACCCTGATGCCAATATAGGCTACCTCCAAGTCATCACTGGAGGCATCATGAATTTTTCCTTTTTGAAAAGAGCCGTGTAGCGTCTTTTGCGTGAGCGATCCTACAAATGGCGCCTACTATGTGCCGTGTCATCACTCCAGAGTGCACCAAGTCAGTGAGACCCTGATTACATTGTGGATCCTGCAAAGTGGATAAATCCCACTACTAGAATTAGTGTGAAATATCTCCTCGAATGGGGGAATTAACCTATTACCAGTGCTCCTTGATTAGGGAGTCATTCCAGCAAAATTTTATCTGAACGGTTAATCTCTCTGTCAATATCTTAGTGTCACTCTGCCCTGTCTCTGCCTCTTCCGGCTCAGTAGGTCGTCAGCTTTTTCTACCTTCTGAACAGAGTTTTGTCTACAAAGTGTACGACATATTTGAAAGTAACTCGGGTGCTACTTTTAATAAAAGGATCCAAAGTTTACTGAAAAATCTACCACATTTCACGGGATTTTTAGGACTGTCATGTAAAGTTTTTTGTGATGGCCTGAATGTAACCACTCACTTTTCATTTACATGACCCATAATAAATCCGGCTTTTCATTGATTAGATTACCAAAATCAAATGACACAGTCTTTTGCCTGTATTCTTCCAAATTGAATCTTCTCTCTCTTCTCAAAGTTGCTTATATTCACCTTTTACCTTCCCCATTCCCCTTCCATCTTCACACTTCTGCTCGTAGTTTTCACCTCAAAAGTTTTGACGCATCTGAGCAGTTGCACTTTGCTTGGCCATACCCGTCTCCTCACGTAGGCTTCATCCACGAACAAATCTCCCAATTCCATTGAGTTTACGGAGGCTGCCAGCAGTTTGCAAGACCTCTCCAGTTTCTTCCTTCCCTAGAAGGCGAATTGCATTCCATTGTGCAGAATACACTGGGTAATTAATAGATAAATTCCTTTGTACTCTATTGTCCAAGAATTGTCATACTTCTAAAGCAACAGTAGTGGATGGCATAAATAGAATGGTAGAAAATGATTGGGTGGAACTGTTACCTAATGGAAGCTATAATCAGTCCTGGGTGGAAGATCACCTGACCCTGGACACGGAGTCATTGCACACCTTCACTTGCTTTATTGCACCCAGATATTTCTTCCGTTTAAATACTTTCTTGTAAGAGGCGACTCTAGACCGTTTAATGCCTTATGGAGCTGAATTCGTTAAAAGACACAACATATTTTAACCAAAGTTTTAACACTGCTAATTCTGCCTAAAGTGATCTCACCTTAAATCTGGTACTTAGCTATGTTTTCGAATGACGAATTCTACACAAAATCCTCGCAACAACCTACATCCCATCTGTGTTGTGCTCCATATCATCTTCTTTCGTCCTCTCAGTGCTTCTATTCAAAAAGTAAGCCAAAGCCCGTAAACAGTAAATAGTAATTAATCCACATCACACAACAAACACAAGTACTTATTTGGTCAATTTGTCGAAACCTAAAATGATTCCTGAAAGATTGCAGGCATCGTCAAATGCAGCACCAACTATGATTACGCAAAACTAGTCCACTCGGAAGGAAAGGCTATCTTCTGTTCAAGTAAACGTAATAAATAATTGTCCGGCATTTTCAAAAACAGTCTAATGTAGGTGTAAATAGTTCTTACTTCA